ATCAAATCTCAAGTTAAATGTTTCAAAAACTAAAGAAATGTGTATTGATTTTAGGAAAGAGTCCTCAACGAGTGCGACCATTATTAAAGGGGACCAGATTCAGAGGGTAGAAGAGTATAAATACCTTGGAGTTGTTTTAGATCACAAACTGAGGTGGGATAAATGGACTGACGCTGTGAACAAAAAGGGCCAGCAAAGACTATATTTAAGTTAAAGGTGTTTTATAACTCTTTTATTGAAAGTGTACTGACTTTTTGTATTTGCTGGTTCGGGAATGCTACGGTGGAACAAAAGTGTATGTACAGGAAAATTATAAGTACTGCGAGTAAATTACTTGGTATCCCTGTGATGGGTTTACAACAAATTTATCAGACTAGATGTCTTGGTAAAGCTATGAAAATTATATCTGATGATAGGCACCCGCTGTATAATGAGTTTGAGCTCTTGCCTTCGGGTAGAAGATTCAGGATACCGGTGTTTTTTAAAAATAGAGGGAAAAAATCTTTTATAACACAGGCAGTGAAGTGCTTAAATGAAAGATAGGAAAGAAAGAGTTGTTTTCCTTTTATTTTTATGTAATGAGCAGGTCTCATTCAGTAATTAGCACTTCTTGATTAATTGATGTTAAATTGTATTGTTTCTATTGTGAAATTTATGTTGTATATACGCATATTGAAACAAGACACTGAAACAAAATTTCCCCAAGGGGATCAATTAAGTTACTACTACATTTGTGCTTTTTTAGTTGCTTACAAACATTTGAGTGTCTAAAGTTTAATAACACAGTAATCAGCACAAACTGTGCTACAATAATATGTGAGCAGCATGTATGTACGTGATTGTGTTTTTGAGAAAACAAGGTTTATGCGTGCTTAGTGAAAAACTACCATTTTAAAGTCACTGAAAAAAAACGTTCTTCTTTGGCATGAGGCTATAAAACCCCTTTTGGTTTCAATCAGGACCTTTATTTTTAAGAGTAGGCTTGTGTTTCGCACATATCCCACAAAGCTTGTGTGCCATTTTTAAACCATTGAGTCTCTAATGGAGGCAGTGTAGTCAGGGTTAAATTCGTGTTTTTGATGAAAACCATGGAGAGGACACTCGGAGGTGGATGACCCACGGAGGAAGTGGAGACACGGCTGATTTCCATGAGAAAGGACTCTTGTCTCAGCGCACAGAAAGACTATACAGCCCAAACGGCACTTCATACCTCGAGTGTCTTTATCAGCGACAATGATGTCTCTTTATTTAATCATGTGTTAATATCGTATGCAAATGTTATTTCTTGCTAAGCTTGCCTAACACAACCGAAACGACCCCAGCTGCAGTGTGAGGGCCGTGTACATTTACTGATTAGTGTGGTTTTCGCACAGCGTCTTTGATTTTTATTCTTTTGCCATTGAGAAGACATGGCTGAGATTTAGTCCTGCAGCTTTTTGTATGACTGGTCAGATATCATTTGTAGCCATATGTTTGACACTATCTGCTGTTTAAAGATAGTAAATATTGGAAAACAAATCCAGATAAAATACGTAGCACTGTATTGTTTGGTCAGGTAACCTAAATATGTGCCTTAAGGGAATTGTTCACCCAAAAATAAAAATTTGCTGAATATTTACCCTCAGGCCATCCAAGATTTAGATGATTTTGTGTCTTAATCTGAACAGATTTGGATAAATTTAGCATTATATCACTTGCTCACCAATGGATCCTCTGCAGTGAATGGGTGCCGTCAGAATGAGAGTCCAAACAGCTGATAAAAACATCACAATAATCCACAAGTAATCCACACCACTCCAGTCCACCAATTAATGTCTTGATGTGAAAAGCTGTGTGTTTGTAAGAAACAAATCAATCAAGCTGTGTGTTTGTGTGCTTTTCTCCTCACAAGACAGGTGTGGATTACTTGTGGATTATTGTGATGTTTTTATCAGCTGTTTGGACTCTAATTCTGACGGCACTCATTCACTGCAGAGGATCTGTAGTGCAGAAGTGATGTAATTTCTCCAAATCTGTTCCCATGAAGAAACAAACTTACCTGAGGGTGAGTAAATATTCAGGAAATATTCATTTTTGGGTGAACTATTGCTTTAAATATGGTTTTATTCATCAAACAAATATTTTTAATAATGAACTGGATTACATTAAGTTACACTAACAGAATTTGGTGTCATTTTCTGGGTCAAACAAATAGAAAAATCTCTATCAGTTACATTTTCAATGTTTTTAGTGTACAGTATAGTATGATGGTTCTCCAGTGTTTACAGAGAAACTGAACCCTTGCTCCCAATCCCAATATAATATTGAATTTGTTTATTCAGAAATATGAACTCACAGATGATGGAAGGTACAAGAGAAGACAAGAAGAGTTGTGTTGCAAGAGTGTGTTGCAAGAAGAGATGGATGGTGAATGGAAGAGAGAAAATGAGATGGATTCATTACTTTTTATTTGATCTCAACACCGACATTTGCCAGAAACTCCATGAATCTGTGCATGAATCCGTCTGATTCTGAGGACATCCCAACCTGATCTCATGGGAAAACATAAAGATGTATGCATAAGATTGTATGAATTATGGGCACCAATTTGCCAAAACATTAAGTAGTTACAAATTGCCATGCCATTGGGTTGGAATGCCATTTTTTGTTTCCAAGAACTTGCTTCTTAGTTTTACCCCAAAATGCATTAGAAGTCAGACCTCTATATCTGACATCAAAGTTAGAGATGCTGAAAACAGTCCATGAAGAAAATAATAGTACTAATGGTCAGTGTTCACCCTCCAAGAGCACAAATATACCAAATTTTTCTATGAGCAATTGTAGGTTAAATTACTCTGCTTATGTTGTTAAAGCAGAATAAGAGGCACCATTTATTTCTTTTTATAAACACAATCTACTCTGAATAGCGCATGTAGTCTTAGCAATGTAGAGCCATCATAAAAAAACAACCCATTTCAAAGTACAAAACAGCTCCAAATATTTCACTAAAAAACTCAAAAATTCAGTTCACACAGTGTAAATGTTTATCTTAAAGTCAATCAAAATGATCCAGTGAGTGTGAGTTCTGTAACTTTTGTAGACGCCATCCTAATTAGAACTGTATATCAACTACGACTGAGACACTCTTACGTTTTATTTGACCAAAAAACAGCAACATTGTGAAATAACTCTTTTCCTATTTTAATATATTTTAAAATGTAATCTATTCCTGTGATGTCAAAGCTGGATTTTCAGCATCATTCCTCCAGTCTTCAGTCTCACATGATCCTTCAGAAATCATTCTAATACCATGATTTGCTGCTTTTTTCTCTCTCTCGTGTTTTTTTCTGGAAACCATGGTACATTTAATTTTTCAGGATTTTTTGATGAATAGAAATGTCAAAAGAACTGCATTTATTTCAAATAGAAGTCTCCTGTAACATTATAAATGTATTTAAGTAATGATTCATAGATACAACAATTGTATTGCATTTACTGAAGTATATGTATATGTCAATAATCTATTGATTGTTTATTATTATTATTATTTTAAAATTATTTAAAAGATGAGGTCCATGGTATAAGCATAGACCAATATTTAATTTGACATTGATTCCATTTGTATTTTACACGTTTATTTTTTGTTATAACATTTACAGACCTCAACACACAAGGTTTTATTATGTAGTAAACGCTACATCAAATATCGGTGATCATAATTGCAGTAGTAAGGCCTGGTGCTTTAAATCATCTATTTGTCCAAGCGTTATTGCAGGAGCGTGCAGGTTGTCCGTGTGTGGGAGGTCAGTTTGTTTTGTGCTGGAGTGAAGCTCTAGTAATCTGTCATTGATTTCGTCTTGTCGTACAGTAGGAATAAAGCACTGAATAGAATGAATAGAAGGTGAAGAAATGTTTCACTTTGTAAAATGCGTTTACCACTAAGCTTTACGGTCTGCAACAGGTCAAGTTTTGTTCATAGTCTTCTATTTTTTGTTCTTTCAAAGCAAACCTCAGAGTTCTCAGTATTAAATATTTTTGAGGTCAGTGGTCAAGACTTTAAGAGATTGCATCAAAATGTGAATTTGCTTTTGGCTAACATGCTTTTTTTTTTTTACTAAGATGAACTCAGAGAACCATCATCATAACTTATTCATTAGACACACTGTTCCTTCTTCCTGGCCTTATTCCAAGTGTGGCTAAACATTTTCCATATTTGAAACTGAAGTCTAATGATAGTTCAGTTCCCAAGCACTTGATATGTATATGTATATGTATATGTATATATATATATGTCCTGCTCCTTTCGGCTAAAGAGTCTTTAAATCCAGAAGACTGGAGAGGATCCACAGTAAATAGAGATGACTATCTATAGCCGATACAAAATCTTGTTCCAATTTCTCTCAATATATGAAGTGAGCAATTGAACTGTAAAGCACTTATAATGTAAATATGCACTTTTTGTTTCCATATATTCCTAGCACAGTTGAACAGTTCAACCCAAGAGGCACACACAGTCATTCATTTCTTTTATTTCTTGGTATTTTTATGTATGTTCTTTATAATTCCTTCTTCAATTTCTCTTGACTATAGTGGACATGTTTGTTCCTATAATTCATATCTGCATATTTTCAAACCCAGTACAACATTTCCAGATTATTCTGGTTTGGAGTATTAACACGCTAATAACTTCCTTCATGAGTCATTTTTTTCCTTGCCTATTTTAACCATATTGACGTCAAGCTCATCTAGAGGCTTTTTGTTTTGATTTAATTCATCTTTTGTCTTGCTATAGTTGTCCTGTGCCAAGTAAGGCCATTTTTGAACTCAAAATAGCCTTCCACTCCACCTCAATCTGCTTTATTAGTGGTGCTTCCTATGGCAGTTACTATGGCTGATTTTCAAAACCTCAACAATTTAGTGTAAAAAGTCAGCTTTGCAGCGAAACTTGTTCCACATGTTAAATATGACCGCAGATCATGTGGCTTGTTGAGGAAAGGTGTGCTGTTTCTTTCTAAGCGATCATCCATGCAATTTTTTTGCTTGGCAGATGATAAACTGTGAAAAAAATCCCATTTTTCTTTGGTTTCTCTTGACCTCATTCAAGTAATATATTCTCTGTGGTAGACAAACATCCTGTTAATGAAGAACTGTAAGAAATACAAGTGTTTTTCCTGCATAAAATAAGCATTATTGAGCACTTGCCAAATGCTTGGCATTCAATGAAAATACAGCAATCAGGCAAATGTGACTCCATCCGGTCTCCCCACCGGAAAAGATGAGTCCTGTCCTGTCAATGGCCAACTAACTTCCCTCTTAGTTTTCATGTCCTCTGGATGCTGTATTGAATTTCCTATTTCCATTCAGCAGAAGAGACACTCCCATTTAGAGAGACTTTAATTAAGGTAGTACACTTACGCTGCACTCCCGATGCAGGCTGAATGGGATTGACCCTGCCAAGTGTAATGGGAGGGGGTTTGGCAGCGCTTTCAGTCACCCTAAACCATGTGTATTACTCCTTGACTGGAATGCAGTGATGATGAGCCGCTGTGCTAATGGAGCCTCACAAGTGCATTTGTAGTAGAGGATTTGCCTTTGCTGTTTTGATCACTCCACGGGTCAAAGACACATCTTTTACAAATCTAGTTGAAAACATGTCTCATGTATTTACAAATGCACTCTTTGTATTCATGTTGGTTTTAAAAAACTAATGCTATTTTCAAAATGTTTCAATTGAATAACTTACCGTCTGGTAAAACGTGCCATATTTTTTCCTTACACTAAGAATACATGTGAGTTGACATATCTTAATCATTAAGTTTAAGTATTTTTCAGAAAATTATTATTTACGTTTTATACAGTTAGCTGAACTTTAGAGTGCTTTTTTGATCCATTTAAGTAGGACTTAAGTACATCTTTATATGTAATTTCACAATTGTATTATTTTCAAAACCTGTTTAAAGTGTACTGCTAAATAACCAAAATATAATTTTAATGTCATTTCTATTTAAACTTGTATGTCATGTGTTTAAATGTCTGAAAAATGACACATTTGTAATAATGCAGTCGCAATTTAGAACATTTAAAATATATTAACTTTACATGTTTTATCGAATAACACACTTAAACAGTAAAATTATAATCAAGTACTTTGTGCTTTAGTGTGTTAGTCAACACATCGAAATAAGTGTACTTCTTTAAAGCACAACAAAAGCTTATTAAAACGATGATTTAAAATTAAAATTGACATTAAGTGCACTTTTTAAAAAGAAACATTTCATTAATATTATATAATCTCCAAGTACAGTTTTTATATACCTTTAATATTTGAATACACTACAAATGCAAGTTCAGTACAATTAAGCACACTTTTTTTCCACAAGGGAATGCTTCCTTATTCATAATAATGAGAGTCTGCCGGAGTCCCCTCTATGATGTAATTTCCTGTTTATGGTTTTTAATCTGCATGTTTCTGCATGCGAGTTTGATCCACATGACTTTGAGATTTTTATATAGCCAAGATATTGAGTGTATATATATATATATATATATATATATACACACATATCCAGTCAAAAATGAACTCTTTCAGCTCCAATGCATATTTCGTAATTTGATGTGACTCCAGCTGTAACCTTAGCAGAAGTAAACCGTCCTGCCTGGCTGCACTTCTGATTTGCTTCCATGAATCAAATTAAATTTGACATCTTTAATTTGAAAAGTGTGATTGATAAGGCCCGCCGTGGAGTATTTAATATGACGTCATTGTCCCTTTCCCAGACTGAAGGGACGCGTGACTAAATGAAGTCTCTCTACTAATGCAGTGGGGGATTATTCTACTGTCCTACACGAGAGCACCATCAATCAGTCCCAGTCACAGTGAGCTTTGTGTAAGAAATATTATGGGGACCAAATGTCTCCACAAGTATAGTAATACCAGTAAATGTTCACCTTGTGGGGACATTTTTGGTCCCCATGAGGAAACAAGATTCTAAATCATACAGAATAAAGTTTTTTGAAAATCTAATAATGCCTGTAGTTTTAGGGTAAGGGGATAGAAAATACAGTTTGTACAGTATAAAAATCATTACGCCTATGGAATGTCCCCATAATGATAGGAATACCTGTGTGTGTGTGTGTTTTTGTGACAAATGAGGGCATAAATTTGTATAATGACAAGGGTATGTCATAGGTATTACAAGGAGAAGGTGACTTTTCAGGACATTACCCCATCTCCCCACTTTTCAAAACGCTTATAAATCACACAGAATGGAGTGTATTGAAAATCTGAAACAGCACAAAGTTTCCTGTGAGGGGTAGGTTTAGGGGTAGGGTTGGTGTAGGGCAATAGAATATACGGTCTGTACAGTATAAAAACCATTACGCCTATGGGATGTCCCCACTTTTCACAAAAACAAACCTGTGTGTGTGTGTGTGTGTGTGTGTGTGGACTCAGTGGGGGCGTGTAGGAGGGAACGTTACGCATCTCTCTCTCATGCTCTCGCTGCAGTGGGCTGGTTCGTACCTTTCACATGCGTCACAGGGGGTGGCCATCAGTGAAGGGTGAACGTCAACCAGCACCAATTATCCTCGCCGTGAAGAACCATCAGTGACATGTTCAATCTCCTCCTGCTTTTGTCCCACTGTGGAGTCACGACAGTGCACCTGTCTTTCAGTTGCAGGTGAAAATGAGCATCTTCTAATGTTCGCAGCAGCTTTAGTGGATATCAGACGGCAGGATCTCGTCCGGTAGCTTGTTTACGGTTCTTTGTGTTATATGACACAATAATTGGACTGAATGTCAAGATCTGACCGCCTCTTTTCTGTGATGTTGAAAGCATTGATTTATTTTATTGTTTGGGGGGTTGAATATAAAAACGTCTGGACATGCTTAGTGATAATTGGGATGACACCTGAAACCTGTCAGTGCAAATTAGGTGTGAATTGCAGTTACTTCCAAGATGTTGCTTCATCTACTCAATAACTGCCTTTCCCTAAGAATGTGCATTAAATTCAAATCAATATATTAATAATTAAGAAGGTTAAGGATAACGAGTGAAAGGTTCAAATTAAGATTTATGCAATACCTCATTTTTGTGACCAGACACTTTTTAAAGAAATCGTTACAAAAATATGAAAAATTAGAAATAGAATATTTAATATAATATTTGATATATTATGAAGTAATAATACATAGCATGATATATGTATATGCACACACTCTACTTGACGTTTTGGAAATTCAAATCAATATATTAATAATTAAGAAGGTTAAGGATAACGAGTGAAAGGTTCAAATTAAGATTTATGCAATACCTCATTTTTGTGACCAGACACTTTTGAAAGAAATCGTTACAAAAATATGAAAAATTAGATATAGAATATTTAATATAATATTTGATATATTATGAAGGAATAATACATAGCATGATATATGTATATGCACACACTCTACTTGACGTTTTGGAGTCTGTGAAGTCAAGGTTGAAATAATTGATTAGACAAAAATACTGTAAAAGTAGTAAATTGTGAAATATTATTACAATTCAAAATAACTGTTCTCTAATGTAATATATATTAAAATGTAATTTATTCCTGTGATGCAAAGCTGAATTTTCAGCATCATTACTCCAGTCTTCAGTGTCACCTGATCCTTCAGAAATCATTCTTATATGCTGATCTGCTGCTCAAGAAACATTTCTGATTATTATCAATGTTGAAATCATTTAATATTTTTTGTGGAAACCATTATATATATATATATTGACTTTTGATCAATTTAATGTTTCCCTGCTGAATAAATGTATTAATTTATCTCAAATCATAAATTAATTAAAATAAATCTTACTGACCCCAAACCTTTGAATGGTAGTGTAAATGTAACATTATTTATTATGAAACTATGAATATGCCAAAACTCAAATGAAATTTAGTCATGGCTTATGGCTTCAGAAGAGTATAGTGCATTTGTCCTTTTCAGAGCATGGCAGCTTGAACAATAGAGATTTCTATAGCAGTAGTACTGCAAAGTCATGAGTTTGATTCCAGTGGAATGAATGAATTGATAAAATGTGAAATTGGCAAACTAAGTAACTTTGATTTAAAGCATCAACCAAATGCATAAGTGGTCACTGAGTGCAAAACTCCTCCTGTTATGTTCCATAGAAAAAGTCACGCAAATTTGCCAAGACATGAGAGTGAGTATCCTCCAAATATCATTTACATGTCTTTCTGTAATGTTTTTACTAAATGTTCAATTTAATATTTATGATAGCTAAGGTTATGTATTGAGTTATGAAATGAATTTTGTGCTTGCTAACACATGTTTTGTCTCCAGTTTTGAGGGAATGTCACCTTGAGATTTGAAAAGCACTAAAAAACTTTGTCAGAGACACCGTGTCCTCATTGATGAGTTAAAGTCTTTCGTCAAGGCCTTATATTAATAAACATTCACAGAAATTGTTTACACTTTCTATTCCCGCACAAGGTTGACAGCCAAACGTAACTCATAATTCTGTTCATTCTTTGCATTCAAGTGTCTGATTACTGTCCTCTTAAGAAATAGACAATAACAGAGTTTCAACCTTGATTTGTTTATATAAAAAAATATATTTTGAAATAACCACTTCAAGTTGTTTATTTTTTTTTATATTAACCTGTTTGTCCCAGCAAAATAACAGCAAATATATAGCAAATATCATCAGATCACACCATATTACTCATAATTGTAGTATTATAAAAATGTAATACAACTGATCATGATAATAATTATAAATTAATAATAATAATAATAATTTCAGGATTATAAGACTTTGTTCATAGGATTTTCTGACTGTATCTTCGCCTGAAAGCCAACTACACTTATACCTGAAAGCCTTTCCCAGAAATCCAACTTTGAAGAAGTACATTTTTATGAAGTTCTCACCAATGCTTTTGATTTCTGTGCTTATCATTATGACTGGGCTGTGCACAGATGCAACTATTCACTTACATTCAGAGAGGGAGATATCAGAGGAGAGGTGGACACGGGCAAATGGGGATCAAAGACTCTCTCTTAAAGGGTTAGTTCACCCAAAAATTACAATTAGCTTGTGTTTTACTCACGCCCGAGGCATCCTAGGTGTATATCTTTCAGACGAATCCAGTCTGAGTTATATTAAAAATTGTCCTGGCTATTCCAAGCTCTATCATTGCAGTCAGCGGGTGTTGCAGTTGAACAGTCCACAAGTCATCAAATAAAGCGCGCGCATTCATAATAAAACGTGCCGCAGACGGCTCCGAGGGATGATTAAAGGCCTTCTGTAGTGAATCAATGTGTTTTTGTAAGAAAAATATCCATATTTCAAACGTAATAAACACTTTTCTCTCACTTCCGCTGACTGTCATACACTGAAGCAGTTCCAGCGGATGATGCAGCACGTACGCGTTGCGTGATTAGTGACGAATGCGGAGAGAGAACAAAACAAAACAAAACGCCGGTCACGAATTAGAAGTACAAACCTGAGGATTTACAAAGAAAAATGTCGGAGGATTTCGATATAAACCGAGAAGAGACTGGTTTTCCTTTGCTAAAGTACACTCTTAAAAATAAAGGTGCTTCAAAAGGTTCTTCAAGCGATGCCATAGAAGAACCATTTTTGGTTCCACAAAGAACCATTCTGTCAAAGGTTCTTTAAAGAACGTCTAGGTTACTTGTGTAACCCTCGTTCCCTGAAGGAGGGAACGGAGACGTTACGTCAGTGACTGACGAATTGGGATCTCGCCCGAGAGCCCAATCACCTTCGAGTGTTAACTAAACAAGCCAATGACAGTTGGCGTGCGTGTTTCGCCACGCGCACCCCGCCCCGCAGCGCGGATATAAAAGGAGAGCGCGTGCAAACGCACATCAGTTTTTCGCTGAGGAGCCGAGGCTACGTGCCCCGGCCGTACAGCGGTGGTACAGCAACTGTGGCAACGGAACGTAACGTCTCCGTTCCCTCCTTCAGGGAACGAGGGTTACACAAGTAACCTAGACGTTCCCATTCAGTCAGTCACGTTCAACGTTACGTCAGTGACTGACGAATTGGGATCCGTATGGAAAACGCCACTATTGCTGACCCCCTCCAGTGCCCTGCTAGGACAGCGGCTAGGCAGAGGTGTCCGCCACACCGCCACTGTACAGTGGTACATTGGATAACACTGGGAGAGCGTACCCAGTTGGGACGCTACGGAAGCCACATCCCGCACTCCCGCACAAT